AATGTGCCTCATTCTCTACTGTCGGAATGCCACTGGTCAATAGATGTCCACTGACCTTAGACGAAGTTTTAAGGTCAAGGTTGAAAACCTTGTATTTTCTTATACATTGCTGAAAGCGGGGCCAAAGGAGATGGCCCTTCTTAGTGATATATTAGTGTTATCATCGTGTGGTAATGCCTAATTTTCTCCATAAGAATCGGTTTGCTTTTCTCGGTCAATCTATTGCAAGAATTCCATTGCCCATTCCATGATGAGAAAGACTTTTATTTTCTTTAGGCTTTGGCAAGTTTTCAAATTATGCTTGTTAAAGTTTTCGAGAAACACATTCATGTCTCGATTGAAGTATTCTGCAGGTTGAAACACATTTCCCACTTTTCTTTTCTACAAAGATTAAAAATCCTCAAAATACTCTTTTAAAAAGGTCTGACTTCACCTTACTTCCTTTTCTTACGAACCCTTTATATATTGATTAAAATAATTTTAGGAATTGGTTTGAGGAGCTGATTTTAAAAGTAACGAATCTTGGTTTTAAGTTGTCTTTCTTTGATGTGTTGCTGGCTTCTTCGCATCCAATATCTATGAACAAGCAGTGAAGTGAAAGTCACGGGTCTTTCGGACATGACCTTAAAAACTTAGGTCACGGTAGGCGTTGGCACGATAAAGAGCCCCAACTGCTCAGTGGCCCTGAGGTCCGAGTATATATTGAAATTTAAAGCCCATCACTGGCATTCTGTGACGTTTCTGTATGAGTGAAAAATTCGCGAATGGGACGTTAAACAATATACAATCAATCATTCTTCTTTCTCCAATCTTATCTAAGCAAGCCATATTTCCTAATTTATATACTTAGCTGTTTACTCTTACGATTTCGTCGTATTTTGTATCATTTTGAGTTTAAATTACTCTCACATTTTCCTAAAGTAAAATAGGGAAATCCGTTTGTTCTGATCTTCACACTTTTCGTTATGATATGACTGTGACGCTTTTTAATCGCTAAAACAAGAGATAGATTTCAAACTCTTTAGTGAGGTCGGTTTGCCAAAATGCGGTGGTTTAATAGATGACATAAATGGTAATCAGAAAATGTAGTTGTTCTCTAATAATAATATTGGTACATGTACATGTATAATCGCTGAAAAAATGTCATCAAACTGGCTAATGCCAAATCTTATTGACAAATCTAATTAAAAATACTGAGAGACAGCAGTATGAAATGAATTACCAGGTCTGAGGAAGTTTATCGGAGGTCGGATAAATTTTACACAAGTCTCCGGCATGAGGAAGTTGCTCCCATTGTGTAGTTGAAAGGATGGGCAGAATTATATGAAAAATTCCTTGTTTGAAGCATATCTTCTCTCTCCTTGGTCTAATCCACAGGATGAAAAGCCAGGTTTCCCAAATTTGGAAACCCGATGGAAACATATGGGAATCGTGACATCAGTAGTTTCCATATAGTTTCCATTTTATGGAAACCACATAGTGGTTTCCACATAGATTCCCGACATGGAAACAATCAACCTGTGGTTTCCCGTAAGTTTCCCAAGATAGGAAACCATGGAAACATACCCCGGTGGTTTCCACATAGATTCCCGAGATGGAAACAATCAACCTGTGGTTTCCCGTAAGTTTTCCAAGATAGGAAACCATGGAAACATACCCCGGTGGTTTCCACATAGATTCCCGACATGGTCAACCTTCCCGTAAGTTTCCCAAGATAGGAAACCATGGAAACATGCCCCGGTGGTTTCCATATAGATTCCCGATATGGAAACAACCAACCTGTGGTTTGTAAGTTTTAGGAAACCATGTAAACATGCCTCAGTGGTTTCCATACAGATTCCCGACATGGAAGCCACCAATGTGTAGTTTTCCCCATGTATCCCAGGCAGGGAAACTTTGAAAGTATATTTCAATACTAACCAACCTACCTTTTATTTTACAAAAAGTTAAATATCTAATTATGTTACCATATTTTTGCCAATTATAGAAATATTTCAAAAGTGTTTACATGCTGTGTCAAAATAATTAACTTCAAACAGTTAAAATAACTAGATGTGTATTTCTGTGTGGTTGATTTGATATTTCAGCACCATGAATGCAATTCAATTTTAATTTAATTTTATTTAACTGAATTTTATTTAATTTAATTTAATTTTGAATTTGATTTATCACATAAGTTTTGGTAAACTCGTATAGAATGCGTGAAGTGGAATAGGAAAAAGTAAGTGCATGCAGTTATGTAGAAATCAATCATTTCCGATCCTTCTTTCTTGAAGCTGTCTATGATGAAATCTCCCTTTGAAAAAAATGGAAGAGCTAAGGAAAAGGTACATTTAATGAAATTATTTACAGAAAAGGTTTACTAAAAAGATCGATTAAAAAGTATATAAAGAAATATGTCAAGTTACGATTACTGATTGAGGACAGGTGAGACGTTCTTCAATAAAATAATTAATTTTTTTTCCAATATTTTGCAATTGACATTGAAGAATTATTTTTACATAATTACATGTATTCACAAGACATCAAGGTACCTTACCAGGCATTTGTGTTAGATACCAGAGGTTGGCATTTCTTATATACCGGGGTAATTGGTCAGGAAAAAAATACTTCAATTGGTTTGTCAAAATTACATTTTAAGTGTTTCAAGTTTTTAAATACGAGTTTAGAAATTGATAAAGATTTTGTTTTAATATGAATTAATATAAACTGGTCAGATAAGAGTTATTCATCGAATTGGCTTGGGGCTGAGTATTATCATACTAGTATTTTACTATCAATAGTGAATATTGTCTTTTTTAATTTATTAAATCATTGTTTTTATTATTGGGGTGGGTGGGTTGCTTTTTATTTTTTTTTCTTGAGAAGGCCCCCCCCCCCCCCCCAAAAAAAAAAATGCTTTTTCAAAGTCACGATGACTGGCTGTAATTAGGGACACCTGTCCTCACGTGCCATATCAGGTGGAGACACGTGCCGCGAAGACACCTGTCACTGTGTATTTTTTGTATATTCTATGTGAATTGAGACGGTTTTGTACCTAAAGGGAACAATGGGCTGTTGTCTCTAGCATGTACACACACAGTCTCCGACCAAAATTCTTTTAAATTAAGATGATGATTCGTGTTTCTTTTATCATTTAAAAAATTGTATATTCCATAACTAAAGTTATACAAGAGAACATATTTATAAAATAACCTACATTTAAGAAGTTCAATGAAAGAACAAACTATTCAGAATTTTTATTTCAATTTTCATTACTGATTTAAAATAAAGCTCTCCTCTTTAGAAATTATATAATTTTCTATAGGTATTGAATAGATCTTAATTCTCGTCGTGTATAATTATATTAAATCAGAATGACGTTAATAGATTAATGTGAAATCAAAACTGTATTTAATATTGTTGATGGGTTTTTGTGTGAAATTTGTAATCTAACGTACTACAAAGACATTTATTAGATAAATGTTTATAATATAATTCATCACATAAAACGTTTTCCCCCCTTTTTTGTTTAAATATGTACGCAGATCCCCGTGTAGTAAACGCCTGCACTTTTCGCATGAAATTACAATGTAGGGTCCTAAATGCACATACATTATATTTAACAAACTAAAAAATTTTCAGCCATTTTTTTTCTCCAAAGGCCATTGCTCTAGATAAAGAAAAGTCTATAATATTTTGCATGATTTTGTTTTCCTTAAGAACAATGGCTTTTAAAGTAGTGCATGCTAAGGCAATCTATTAAAAGAATTAATTGTATAATATATTCATTGTATAATTGTCACGATTGTATTTTTGTGCAGTTTTTGTTGATTTCATTCTATAAAGGTATGAAGTTTGTCAATACTTCAACAAACATTTCTTTATCTATGGTGTACACTACTTTATTTTTATTCGCCGACATGCTACTCTTTTTATTAAAAAAACTTGCGTGACTAATAGACTCGATCTTCAGGCCTGTAGGAAAGTAATTTCCGAAAGAGTAATAAACTAACAGGGATTTTATTTTTACTAGCATACATGTACCTTACCAGATTTCTTAACGAAAAAAAAAACATTAAAAGAAATACAGGGCGGGACCAGCTAAAGCTATATGCATAAGTACAGCCCTGCACATCAACGAGTATAGATGAATTTCGACATCTTTCCCATGACTTCACTTATACCAATCACGACTAAAATATTGAATTAAAATACTGTTATATTTCCTGTCTTTGATGAGATGTTAGTTTTGTTCCACCTAGAGATATAACTCTCCTAAGAAAAAGGTTTTCAACATTCTGATTCATCTAACAATTTTACGTGTTAAAATGATGTGGGAATTTTTTTTAGCTAAAGGCCAAGGAGTTTAAACATGTTAAAGTACAATGTATATGTAGCAATTAGAGAAAAGTCTAGCAGGTCCACCAGTAATATTGACAGCAGGCTCAAAATCTAATTAAACCCCGAAAAGGAGGGAGTTCGATTAGTAATTTCATCCCCCCCCCAAAAAAAACACAACAATTTATTAGCAATGAATTAAACACCGAACTTTTCAATCATCACTATTGAAATTAAAAAACTGTTCTTGATAATCATATTATAATTGTAGCTTATTTTCATGCCTTTTAGGATTCCTGTGGAAAGTTCACAATAAAAAAAATGTGCTTTTAAAAATTTAACATCTTTTGGTGTGACATTATAAATTCATAATCATACATGTAACAGTTAAAAGAAGCGGGGAGAGGTGTGTGTGTGTGTGGGGAGGGGGGGGGGCTACTTTCAGCAAGGACGGCCACTACCAACAACCAAGCCCCGAAACCCATTTCCCGAAGGCAAATAAGTTGAGGTGTCAAGCAAGAAACAATTTTTTTTTCTGCTCTTGCCTCATGTATTTAACCGCTTTTTTTTCTAAATATACTAGGCCTACACATCATATCGGCAAAAATATTGAGGAGTCCCTCTTTTTATTCCATGAAAAGGGGAAAACTTAATTAAATTCTAATATAAGATCTCATAATCACACTTAATCATAGTGAATGTAAACAGATTATATTTCCCATCCTGCATCGCTCTGTAGGCGCTTTATTTCATTGGTCAATTTACCGAGGCGCCATTTTTGGAGGATCGAGAAGGACGAAGAAGAAGGTGTAAGCAGCTGGTAAATGTGAAAAGTTAAGATGGTTTCACCACCCAGTGTCTTTAAGACTGTGATAAATGCAATGGCCAACGATGAAGGATTAGTGTACGTATATTTTTGTTAACTTTTTACGGTAAATAGTTGTAATATTTGGCAACAACAAATCTTCACTATCGGAGGCAACTTTTGTTTTGACGCCATTTTGAAAAGTTGGATACCTAAGTTTTAAATTGTTAAGTGTATATATTGCAGAAAGAAAGAAAGAGAGAGAGAGAGAAATTTGAGACGTTGATATAGCATAACTTATATTATGAAGGCACCGTGCATGTGCATGCTGTATGTTGTAAAATTACAACGTTTCGCCTTTTATCATGTTTATTAAAATGTATGCTCCATGTGTATGTTCTCTCTATATATATAAATGAATAGGAAGGATAGGAATTCATATGGAGGGGGAATCATGATATATGTCTCTAACTCTCTAAAAGTTACTCGACGGGAAGATTTAGAACCACGAAGCATAGAGAGTATTTGGATCGAAATTGAACAACCAAACAATAATTTATTCATTTGTTGTGTTTATCGTCCACCAAACTCGAGCAATGATTTTTGGGGGAAATTTTCATGGTCCATTGAAAGAATAAGTGATATGTCAAACAAAATTATAATACTTGGGGATCTTAATGTAGATTTTCTTCAAATAAATCCAAACCATGAAATTTATAATATCATGAACATGGCTGGGCTTTTAAACGTAATAAACGAACCTACGAGAGTAACACAAGTTACAAAAACTCTGATAGACCCTATTATTATTAGTCGTGAAATATTTATGTTCGATTCAGGTACATTAATGGTTGACACAAATATCAGTGACCACAAAGCTACGTATATATATGTGAAACAAAATTACTGTAACAATTCTTCGTACAAACGTAAAGTATGGAGCTATAAAGAAGCAAATTTAGAAGAACTTAATATTTTAATAAACAACTTTGATTGGGAAAGCATTATTTCAAAATCAACTGATATTGAAACCGCAACAACAAACTTTACACAACAATTTATGCTAATTATACACAAATGTATACCCGAAAAAACTGTTACAATAAGACCAAACGACAAACCATGGATGGATTCATTATTAAGAACAGCTATACGACTTAGGAATAGATTAAGAAAAAAAGCACAGAAAACCAAGAAAGAATCAGATAAAGAAGAATTTCGGAAAGCTAGAAATAAAGTAAATAATATGAAAAAATATGCCAGAGGAAATTACTACGACAACATTGATTCTCATTTAAACGACGCAAATAAAAATAATAACAAGTTGTACTGGAAATTACTAAAAGATGTCTTTCACACTAAAACTTCATCCGAAATACCCCCTATTAAACAGTTGAATGAGAATGGTGATCCTGTATACGCATTTTCCGATAAAGAGAAAATTGAATTACTAAATAACTTTTTTACATCCATCTCTGATATAAAAGATGAAGAATATGAGCTACCTGATTTTGAGTCCAAAAATGAAGAAAAATTTTGTGACGTAAATATCCAAGAAAGCGAGATTATTGATATTATTTCTATCCTGCCCGTAAATAAAGCTGTGGGCCCTGATTGTATCAGCCACAAAATGTTAAAATCTTGTAAAGAATCCATAGCTAAGCCACTTTGTCTGTTATTTAATGAATCTCTTAGACTCAAAGTTTATCCTGAAAGTTGGAAACTAGCACATGTCCTTCCATTATTTAAAAAAGATGACCCATCAGTCACTTCAAATTATACACCTGTATCTCTTTTGAGTTGTGTGAGTAAAATATTTGAGAGAGTTGTATTCAAACATGTATATAATTTTTTTCACACAAATAATTTGTTCTACAAATATCAGGCAGGTTTTCTGCCTGGTCACTCAACTGTGTACCAACTTTTAGAAACATATCATACTATTGTAAAAAGTATTGATGAAGGGCAACATTGTTGTATGGTTTTTTGTGATTTATCAAAAGCTTTTGATAGGGTTTGGCATAGGGGTTTGATTTATAAATTAAAAATGTATGGTATCTCCGGTAATATGTTAGAATGGTTGGAAAGTTACTTGTACAATAGAAAACAAAAAGTTATGTATAAAAATTTATTTTCTTCTGTGAAAAATGTGCATGCTGGGGTACCCCAGGGCTCTGTCCTTGGCCCTCTTTTATTTTTGATATATGTGAATGATGTAGCCGAAAACATGATAACTGTTTGCAGACTATTTGCAGACTATTTGCAGACGATAATTCTTTACAAAAAAGCTCGAGTGACGTGCGTCTCATTGAACATCATCTAAATCATGACTTAAAAATTCTGGATGAATGGTCCAAAAAATGGTTATTGAAATTTAATCCAAGTAAAACAAAAGTATTATTTTTCAGCTTAAAAAATACAAACCAGTTACCTGAATTATTTTTTGAAGACTGTCAGTTAGAATATGTATCACAACATAAACATCTAGGTGTTATTTTCTCAACTAAATTAGGTTGGTCAGATTACATTGATAGTATTGTCAGTAAAGGCTACAAAAAACTAGGACTTCTCAAAAAACTTAAATTTTCAGTGTCTAGAGATACTTTATCCAAACTTTACACTTCCTTTATTCGACCACAACTTGAGTATGCATCTGAAGTTTGGTCAGGCTGTTCGCTGGCAGATATTGATAAACTTGAAAAGCTTCAACTGACAGCCGCAAGAATAGTGACTGGTCTTTCAGTATTAGCATCAAGAAATTCGTTGTATATTGAAACAGGTTGAGAACCTCTTGTAATAAGAATAAACAAAGCCAAACTTTTAACAATGTTTAAAATCCACAATAACCTAGCTCCTGATTACCTAAAAAACATTGTACCGATGGTTAGAAACACTGTTTCAAATTACAATACTCGAAATTCATTTGATTATTCTTTACCTAAATGCAGGCTTGAATTATACAACAAATCATTTGTCCCCGATACTGTACGCAAATGGAATTCACTGAGCAATGAAACAAGGGAAATAACCTCAATAGGAAGTTTTAAAAGAAAATTGAGTAATAATAAAGATAAGCCTCCCAAGTATTTTTCATATGGTAGAAGGTATCTGAACATTTTACATACAAAATTAAGACACAATTGTATTTTAAATAATGATCTGTATAGATGTAATATCATAAGTAATCCAAATTGTTCTTGTGGTATGAAGGAGGATAGTCATCATTTTTTCTTTGTTTGTAGAAAATATTTTGAACCTAGACGCTTAATGATGAATGCACTACTAGTAACTAATAATGTAAAAATGATTAATGTGCATAAATTACTATGGGGAGATGATTCCTTATCTTCGCAGGAAAATGAAAAAATATTCGGTATTGTTCAAAAATTTATTCAGGAATCAGGTCGTGTTTATTAATCAACAATGAATTGTGTTATCTCTATTGAAATTATTATATTTTTATAATATCAACACTGTATTTATTATCACCATTATTAATAATTGATATTATTTCCTTATTCATAAAACAATTGTCTTTGTTCTTCTATGTAAATGTATATATTATTGTAAAATTTTGTTAATGTGGTATGGCTATTGAGATATTATGTATGGGAGAGGACTATCTAAGTTGCTAGAACTTGTGTCCGATCCCTTTGACATATTGTCAATAAAATATGTTCAAAACAAAACATAAATGAATACTTTTCGGAATTTAAAAAAAAAATATTTTAAACCCCGCTCAAATTATCCGGATGATAATAGTTACACCGAACATGGTTTCGTAATTAAATTCAAACTGTAGAACATCCGGTTTGAATACCACATGTGTTTTCTGACTTTTGGGAGCCAACTCTTGTTTTTTTTGGAACTTACGACTTATGGCAAGGTATAAATTAAATATTTTTGGTTCAAAACTTTGATAAAAGCATCGATATTTTTACAAAAAGTGTCTTTAATCTCAGCTTATCCGATTATTCATGAAGGATATCCTCATCAGAACAGATTGTAGCGAATAGCATAACCCTTAATCATATGCATGACGATGATATGGAGGGAAAATATACATAAAAAAGTGAATGTAGGTGAAAGCCTGTCCTCTTTTCTGAAGAGATTAGGTTTGTTTTATTGTTTATTGAAATAGTTTACTGCTCAAAAGATTCTTTTTTGTAATGTCTAACCTGTTGAGATGAAGATGTAATAAAAGAAAATCCTAATAGTGAATTAATATTGATAGTATGTCATGAAATGCAAATGAATCATCAGCTTGAATTATCAGTTTTTTCACAATTATTGACCTGAGTAGGTCAATGTATAGCGAATAATACATACTCCTTTCCATATCGCATCCTAGCCCGAGACACCAATTTCAGCCAGAGGGACAGAGACCCTAGGGCTGATATTGGTCGAAGGTCTGATACAGGATGTGATGTGGAAAAAGGTATGTTTCATTATGTTTATTACAAACTTGGTAATAAAATACAGAACACTTCAAGTTGAGAAGATCAAGAAAATAAGTAAATAATCATGCACAATAAAACTACTTACATACATGTACACGGTATTGTCTTACTGAACAGATTTAGCTGTCATTAGGTCAAAATTGCAAATAATAACATGCTTCTTATATCAGTATATACAGGTAACTCTTGATGGCTTGAACTTCGATTTCTCGGAAGTTCTTGATGGCTTGAAGTGAGTCTCTTGTCCCGATTTTTTCCACTATATAACTAAGCAGATTTGCTCTTGATTTCTCGAACCCCTGATCTTTCAAAACCCTTGATCCCTCGAAGTCAAAATGCAGTCCCACTGTGCTGTGAATTTTACCCTAGATACCTCGAAGTGGCTGTGTGTATACCAAGTTATAATGTTCAAACTTTTGCCATAACTGTATATCTGTGTGTCTGTCTGAGTGTCTGTTGTCAACTTAAACCTTCACCATAACTTTAGAACTATACGTCGAGATAGTGGCTTCATATTTACTTTAGTATGCATACTCCACTAATGAAGTGCTTTCAAATGGCAACAAGGACAATGATTATGTGTCAGTGATCTTGACTGTGACCTGTATGCTAAAAAAATTGCTTTTTCGAACTTTGTTGCTGTGTTTAACAAGCACATCTTGTTTTGTTGGTCTCTGACCAGTAGAGCTTATGCGAAAGTAAAGCGTCCGGCGTCCGTCCGTCTGTCTGCAAACACTACTCCTTAAATTTTAGTCTGATTTCAATATAACTTGGCACACAAGTAGACTATACCAAGATACATAATTCTGTGCATCAGTTTTTGATAAGTACAAACCAGTAGAGCTACAGTCTCGACAGAGACTTCTGGTTATTTTTTCTTCCATCCCGGCTGTTGCTAATGCTATTACATAATTAGTGTTTAAAAATTAGAATGAAATAGTACCTGAACATAATTTATCATTTCAGAGAGAAGAAAACTGTGTAACTTTAAAAGAAAACCAGTGAGATAAAATCATAGAAAATGTATGATGATTCAGGATGTGGTCATTTGGTAAGTGGTACTTCATTCATGGTTCCTATGTATAGGACAATTGCCTGAAAAAAAAGATTCTAAATTTTATTTAAATACTGAACTGTGGTATATCAGCTGTGAGCTACAAGAAGTTTTATGTAAAAGCTAGGGCTGAAACAATTTGCCCCCTCCATGTTATGTGTGTATTGCTATGATTGACATACAATCAGTTCTCTAATACATACACTTCAATAAAACGAGGCACATACCATATGTTCTAAATGAAAAAAAAAGGCTCATTATGCACATGCTATATGAAATATGATAGATTTTTTTCTCTCCAAGGAATAATTTCTGCAAGTCACTAAGTTTTTAGGGTTTCCTTTATTTTAAAGATATTCAATGAAATTATTTGAAGAATTAAATTTTGGTAAATTTTATGATACTAAAAGGTTATATGGATGAAAAAAACAACATGCATGTATGACAATAGGGCTTAAATTTTAATGTCTCTTAATTTTTGAGTGACATTAAAACAGGAATTATCTTCACCAATAGACGAATTTCACATTCCTAAGAGTTTTTTCCAATTGTTGGCGTATCGCTCATTTTTTCCACTTTGTCCTTTGTAAGTTACTTGTTAATATTTTCAATCTTCAAAAATATTGGACAATTACAATCTGTATCTGTATTGGCAGAGTATGGGGGCAACATGAAAATCATAATGAATATGTTCATACTGATTTTATTTCTAAGATATTGTCCCTCAAAGTTGATACGGTTCAAGACGGAAAACAGGGTCTTAAGCTGGTTGACCCCAGATCGACCCTGCGAAGGGGAATAACTTTTGTAAATGTGAAAATCCTTTATGGTATATCATATAGATCTAAAACTGACTGAATTTTGATCAGCCAATTTATGAACATTATGAATGGATGTAAATAATGTTGGACAATATATGTAAAAAAAAAAATTAAATTACTTGTTTATATATACATTTGTGGTTTCTCTCCCATTGAAGTTTATAAACTTGTTATTTATTTCTTAAATAAACTGAGCGTACATGCAATACCGGTATAAAATTACTCATAAGATGCATGTATACTTAAACCATGATAAAATCATATGTGTCCAATGCAGCATATGATAAGTCATTAATATACAAGTACATGTGTTTCTATACCATGTATACTGTAATACATATATATTGCATTATTTTTAGGTCCTGTTCTGTGGATGCCCTAAGACAGTGTCTACCCATCACTCCATCTGATATCACTTGTTCTGAGCATATTTCTCTCTCAAACTTAAACTACAGAGAGCCTGTGGATAGTGGATGAAGAGTGACCTTGGACCAATTTTCTAGGTCAAAGGTCAGTATCAAAATCTACTGTATATCTTTATTTAAAAATCGTAGTCCAGAGTATATTTCTCCCCTGCCTGGTGTAATCTAGCTTTTGTGCAATGGGGTGGACTCCGTGGAGGGTCTGCAATGATCTTCAACCAATTTCTAGGTCGAATATCAAAATAAAAAAAATCTCTCCCAAATATTTTTGTTATTATAAAGAGTATGTTTTCTCTCAAACTAATCAAACTTAAAGCAGGGTTCTTAGTATGAGATACATGTAGTAATATATTCTCAATTACATAATAAGGCTGAAAACATTATTTATATTAGGCCTAAAATAAGATATTGTTTGTTTGCAGTTGCCGACCGACCCACTGAAAATGCACCCGACCCAAACTTTTTTTTAGCCATTTTGTAATATTTTTTTTCTCTCCAATTTTTCAGGATATTAAAACTGTTTCATTTTCAATTTTTTTCTTTATCAATCATACCAAGAGTGCAGCTTATTCATGTAAAGTAGGCCTATGAAAAACTTTATTTTATGTTATCTAACAAAGATCTGGAAATATTTTTTTTTCAAAAAAAAAAATTGCCTACCTACCTACTCAGACTAAAAATTATAGGTCGGCAACTGCAAACAAAGAATTTTTTAAGCTTGGCCTTATGTTATTTTTTTTTCACTTATCATAAAGCATTAAATATTAAAGAGATACATTAAATGCTGAAATCATATGTATCATGGTCATGGAAAGTAATTATTGATATTGGTATATTAAAGGACATTGACTGATCTTTCAGATTTCTAAGTTATATTCAAGCATTATAATTCTGACATCATATAATAATTTTGTATGAATATTGCAGATCAAAGGTGATGTGAAGAAATCCAGGAAACTGATGTTGAAAGAAGTACTTAATTACCCTTATGAATGGACTTAAATGTGAAAGACTGTTCCATTGTTTATCTAAGATATAAGGATTTATTTAATATTTTGATATCATTGAAAAATTCAGTTACAGTTTTTGTACATCAAATGAATTATTAAACATATAAAATGGTAATGCTTCTTTCTTTTACATGTAATAAATTTTTTTGATAGATTTTTAAAAGAATACACATTATTTCACATTGCTTCCTTTAGAAAAGTTAGGGAATCTTGAAGTTTCCCAGTAATTCCACCAGGAATGGGACTCCAGATAATTCCACCAAGTTTCTGCCACACAGAAAGTGTTACACAAGTTCCATATAGTTTCCCGAGTCAAGGAAACTGCAGGAATCATAAGGTTTCACGAGCTTCCATGTAGTTTCCCATAAAAGAAAACCTTAAGATTCCATCAAGTTTCCATTCCACGGAAACCACTATGCTCATATTCCATATGGTTTCCTGAGTCGAGGAAACTTTAGGAATCGTGAGGTTTCCCGTGCTTCCATGTAGTTTCCCGTATAAGGAAACCTAAAGATTCCATCAAGTTTCCATTCCACGGAAACCACTACGCTCCGATTCCATATGGTTTCCTGAGTCGTGGAAACTTTAGGAATCGTGAGGTTTCCCGAGCTTCCATGTAGTTTCCCATAAAAGGAAACCTAAAGATTCCATCAAGTTTCCATTCCACGGAAACCACTGCGCTCCGATTCCATATTGTTTCCTGATCATGGAAACCAGTGGAACCTTCAGGTTTCCAATTACGGGAAACTACATGGAGGCTCGGGACACTTCAGATTTACAGAGGTTTCCGTGGTTCGGGATACCTTGGAATCGGAGCGTAGGGGGTTTCCGTGTCACGGAAACTTGACGGAATAACCTAGCATCCGCTACGGAAACCACTGGGAAACATGATGTAAACTTGAGGTTTCCATGTGGTTTCCATAAAGCTTCCCGTGATGGGAAACCACTTTTTTCACCCTGTGATCAGGCTCACACTTCACTGTCGGAATACTACTGGTCATTAGATGTCCACTGACATTAGACGAAGTTTTTAGGTCAAGGTTGAAACCCTTTACTACTACCTTATATTTTCCTATACATTGCTGAAATCTAGGCCCAAGGAGATGGCCCCTTCTCAGTGATATACGAGTGTCATCATCGTGGTAATGCATAATTTTCTCCATAAGAATCGATTTGCTTTTCTCTGTAAATCTATGGAAGGAATTTCATTGCCCAATCCATGATAAGGACTTATTTTCTCTAGGCTTTGGCAATTTTTCAAATTATGCTTGTTAAAGTTTTCCAGAAACATATTCATGTCTTGATTGTAGTATTCTGCAGGTTGAAAACACATTTCCCACTTTTTTTTCTACAAAGGTAAAAATCTGTGAAAAGAAACTCTTCTATAAATGGTCTGACTTGACCTAACTTCCTTTAGTTACTAACCTTTTATATATTGATTAAAATAACTTTATGATTTGGTTTAAAGAGCTGATTATAATACGTTATTAATCTTGGTTTTAAGTTGTCTTTGGTGTGTGGCTGGCTTCTTCCGCCTCCAATATCTATGAACAAACAGTGAGTTGAAAGTCGGGGGTCTTCAAGACGTGTTCTTAAAAACGTAGGTCTCGGAAGGCGTTGGCACGATAAAGAACCTTCACTGCTTAATGGCCCTAAGTGCCGAGTATAGGTGTAAATATGAAGCGCATCACCGGCATAAGGTGACGTGTCTGTACGAGAGAAAAATTCGCGAATGTGATGTTAAACAATATCAATCTTCTTTCTCCAGTCTTATCTATGCAAGTCATATTTCCTACTCTACATACTAAGCTGACTCTTACGATTTCGTCGTATTTTTTATGGATTTTGAGTCCAAAATACGTCTCACATTCGGCTAAAATGAAAATACTGAAATCATTTCGTTCAGATTTTCACAGTTTTCGTTATGTTTTGATTCTGACGCTTTTTACTCGCTAAAATAAGAGATAGATTTCAAACACCTAACTGATGTTGGTTGGCCAAAATGCGTTAGTTTAAGGTTTCGTCAAAGGTCAACATGTTCAAAAAATTATTTTTACAATAGCCCCAAAACTATGTGAGGTATAAAGTTAAAACTTTTACAGTTTATAAATTTTTCATTGCTTAACAGATAGAAAGTATCACTTGATAAAAAAATACTTGGAAAAAATTTTAATTGAGAAAAATTCTTTTTAAAAATGCATATATTTTCAAAAAATACACCTAATTAATTACGTTCTTTTAGTGAAAACCATCATTGCAGAAACAAAATATGTTTATCAATGAAGGGCAAGTTGGACTTGGATTGTCTATGGAAAGTTGTTTTCCCTGTTTATTTTGTCCAAATGTTAAGACTTGAAAGTGAAAGTACATTGCAAATGGCGGATTCTGTAGGGGTCTTGTCTTTATACATGTCATGCTTTCAATAACAGCCTTTCAGAGACCATTCACGTCCAACTTGCCCTTCAATGATAAACATATATTATTTCTGCAATGATGGTTTTCACAAAAAGTACAGAATTAAACAGGTGCATTTTTTAAAAAATATGCACATTTTCTGATACAATTTTTCTAAAAGAAAAATATTTTAAAAAATATTTGTTATGAAGTGATACTTTCTATGTATTAATCAATGATATATTTATGAACTGTAAATGTTTTGACCGTATACCACACATAGTTTTGGAGCTATTGTAAAAATAATCTTTTAGACATGTTGACCTTTGACGAAACCTTAAAAGATGACATAAATGGTAATCAGAAATGTAGTTGTTCTCTATTAATATCAGGGATGGGGTAATTGAATAAAGTAATTGTAATTGAGTGTAATTAATTACATTTTTCAAAGTAATTGGAAGTAATTTGTATTTGAGCGAGCCTTCAATTGCAAGTAATTGAATGTATTGAAATACATTTCACAAAAGGTCATGTATTTTCAATTACTTTTCAATTACATTTCAATTAATTTTTTTTTCAAAATGAAAGTTTATATTTAAAAAGGTGTTTTATACTGATACATAGTTTTATACTGGTGGGGTTATATTACTTATTCCCATGTTTTATAAATCTCAGTTCTCCCTTTTCCCACTTGCAAATAACAATGATTGTTTAGATAGTTAATTTGTTTTACAGCAATTAGACTAACTACATTCCCTTTTAGATTTACCTTTATTCTATTCATTTTAAGATAGAAAATAATGAATGGAATTGTGATAGATATTATTTATTTTCTTCAAAAATATGGTTTTGAGAAAGTAACAAAGAAGATCTTGCCATACACCATACTGGTGTAGCATGGGCTTGTGTTTGTACAATAATTAATTGTCCTATAATGTTTAATTTGTTTATACAGTGTGTCATACTCATTATAAGGTAAAGGTCTAATTTTGACAAGGTGTGAACCCCTATCATACCAAAGAACAAAAACACTGAATGAAAGTTTCCAATTCGATTGCTGTAGAAAAAAAATTATTTAAAAAAAAAATCTTTTTTTTTTTAATAAAAATAAAACTCGAAGTAATTGAAATGTATTTAATTACATTTGTCAAAGTAATTGAAAGTAATTAATTACATTTGAAAAAATCAATGTAATTGTAATTGCAAGTAATTGACAAAATTATCAATGTATTTGAAAGTAATTAATTACATTAAAAGTAATTGACCCCAAGCCTGATTAATATATATGTAAAATGAATGGAAATTGAAATTTTACTGGGTAATGCCAAATTTCATTGACAAATCTAATTAATAATACTGAGAAACGGCAGTATGAGTTAAAAGCTCTGAGGAAGTTTATCGAAGGTCGGATAAATTTTAGACAAGTCTCCGGCATGAGGAAGTTGCTCCTATTGTGTAGGTGAAACGGTGTAGCAGAATTAAATGAAAAATCCTTGTTCGGAGCATATCTTCTCTCCCCTTGGTCTAATGAGGCTCATACTTCACTGTCGAAATACCACTGGTCATTAGATGTCCACTGACCTTAGACGAAGTTCCTAGGTCAAGGTTGAAACCCTTTATAAATACCTTATATTTTTCCTGTACATTGCTGAAAACGGCGCCTAAGAAGAAAACCCTTCTCAGTGATATCTAATTGAATGTTATCAGCGTGTGGAAATGAATAATTTTCTCATTAAGATTCGGTTTGCATATCTCTTTCAATCTATGGCAAAAATTTCATTGCCCAATCCATGATAATAAGGAGACTTTTATTTTCTTGAGGCTTTTGAAATTTTTCAATATACGCTCATTCGAAGTCTTTTCTTTAAACACTGAAAGTCGTGAATGAATTCTGCTCAGATTTCATTAATGGGACTGTGTCCATGGAAAATATTTTGCTCATGATCACCATTTACTGATGAAAAATTTACCCGGAATTCAAAGCTTTTTTCATGTAACTAAGAATAAGCAGACTAGCCACTTTTCCGCTTTTTGTTTTTATTCTTCTCCATTTTGTTACTGTCCTTCCGTCCGTCTCTTGTCCGGATCATATCTTCTCTCTCCTTGGCCCAACCTGGCTCATACTTCACCCACAGAGTGTCTTTGGGCAACCGGTATGCAGTGACCTTGAACAATGTTTCTTGGTCAAAGGTCAAGTTCAAAGCAGAATTATACGAAAAATCCTTGTTCGGAGCATATAACACTGTGCCGGATAATTATGCCACTTCAAAAGTGGCATTTTGGCGCCCGCCAAATCCTCATTTCACATAAAAATCATGTATACTAAGTGGTAGACCATCACTCACAGAGTTCATAACTACCTTTGTTACAGGTAAATCTCACCTGTCAGGTGAGATAATCACCTTTGAAAAAAAAATTCCCATAGTAAAAATAAAGTTCCTATAGGAAAAATAAAATTTCTGAGGGATATTATCGAAATCTTGCAGGATTTCTTAATTTCCTGCAGGATATTTAAAAATTCCTGTAGGACTATAATTTACCATGGGAGAATTTAATTTCCTAAGGGAATTTATTTTCCTAAAGGAGAAAAATAAATCCTATAGGAGAAATATATCCTATAGG